TGGTAAAATATAGAGTTGTTAGCTGAGAAAATAAATAATTATGTATATTTGGTAAAATAGTTGTTAGTGGTAAAATCCTAAAAAAATACTCCGTAGAAGAAAATTTCTAACAGCTACCTTCAATCATCAAAAGCTAATAATGTTAACTTTTCACAAAAACTACTTCAACAATTGTCGGGAATCAATTTCCCTTAAACTTCATTCACAGTTAGGAAAAGGTTTATATACTCCCTCCGTTTTTAAATACTTGCTCTATTTCTCCATGCGCGGAGTTTTAGGAGAAATTGGAGAAAGTAATAAAATATAGAGGTAGTGGAGTAGGTGAAAGAATAAAATATTGTAAAAAGCAAAAGTAGTTGAGAGAATTGGAGGAGAGAGAATATGAAATTAATAAAATATGATTTATGTTGGGTCCACTAATTGAGATAAATGAATTAAATATTGTAAAAGCTTTCAAATAAGAAAATGGAACAAGTATTTAAAAACGTCCGGAAATGAAAAGTGGAGCAAGTATTTAAAAACGGAGGGAGTACAACCTAATATTAACTCAATAAGCCTATAATTAACAATGGCCCAATTACTATAAACACTAGCTAAATATAAGGCCCAACACCTCCCCTCAAGTTGGAGCGCAAGTCACAAATGTCCAACTTGTTAAGTAAATACTCCTCTGTCTCATATTACATGACACAGTCAACATTGCACAGATGTCAATGCACTAGTTTGACTTTATTTTTATATAATTAAATTGATGAAAATTATTTTAAAAATTATATTATAAAACTTTATATTAATACCTATCTAACAACATATTTTATGATAAAATATGTTTTATTATGTTAGTAAAAAGTTATAGTCATAGCTAATGCATGAATAGTGAAAAAAGTCCAACGTCTCATGTATTATGGGATGGAGGGAGTATAAGAATTGTCGCTTTCCGAGTGCCTTTGTAAAAATATCTGCAAATTGCTCATATGTAACACCCCGTATTTTCGAACCACTATTTTATGTGCATTTTCAACCTATTAAACCTAATTACTAATCTAAATCACAATTTCTAAATTGAAATGTTAATTTAATTATCAAAATTGTTAGTTTGATTAAAGGGTCATCCCAAGCTTTTGAAAACCCTAATTATAATATTTTGAAGAAACAATTGAAAGTAATTATTTAAAAGATTTTATATTTTAGTTTTAATCATTTCAATTATATTTGATTTGTCTGAATTGATACTATCCTTAAAGGGTGATTCTTAAGCTTAAGCGTCAATTCAGTAAGTGTTACACTTAAATTGTATTTTTGATATTTAACCTATTAAAATTGATACGGTCATCATGGGTGATTCCTTGACTAAATTGCCAATTTAATAGGTATGAAATGATTTTATGGTTTTTAAGACGTTTTACGTTCAATTGTATCAATATTGATGAATAAAGTTGTATTGGGTGATTCCGTCAACTCGTTTATCAAATTGATATTGTTTATAAACTATTGTTTAATCCTTATATTTATAAAACTCATTATAATGTCCTTTTATTAATTAGGTCATTAAAAATGAATAATATTATTGGTTTCGCATTTCGTTTTTATGTCGCTTTCCTTCCGTTCCCGAAAGTTCGACTCACTTGGCGGTCTCCAATGGACATCTTAACCGTGAATATCTTTGGCTATGTATGAGTCGAAATTACAAAAAGTTGATATTTGAAAATTTATTATAAGCTGAATCTAATAAGGTCCTACATGCTAATTTATTTCTATTGTATAAATCATAAACTATGGTCAAACTTATTTTATTTTGACCACATGAATAGTAAGTGAGTCAAACTTTCAGAAATGGAGGTAGTATATAATTTTTGTATCGTAATTTAAATTATTGTTTTCATTATTGTTATTGTAATTATTATTGAGATATCAATAATATAATCTATATTATCATTTTTAAACGCGTTTCAATATGCCTCCTGTTACATTCCTTTCTTAGTCTAGTTTCGGGCCAACTAGAATTTGTTTATGGGTCGGGTTTTGCATTAGAACTTTTATGACTAAATAGATTATGATATGCTTGTTTATTAGCTTCCTTAATCCCATTCTTAAGCCTCAACTAATCATTCAATCAAGCCAATTAGTGTAGCTTAAGTTAGGGTTTGCATGAGAGCTAATTTAGCCCATTTTTCCTCCCTCTACAACGGCAGCCACAAGGCTTTACTATTGCCCAAATTCAACCTAAGTAACCCCCCATATTCACCTTCATTAAGCCTAATAAAACCTATTAATTTGCTGCCCAAACCCTTTCACTTCCTCTTCTCATTTCACGTACAAAGAAGGCCAAAACACATCAATTTTTCTCCACCAAAAGATGCAACAACTCCCTCCTCTTCTCCCCATCTTTTGCGTGGGATTCAAGGTGGGAATCAAAGGGAAATCAAAGACTAACTTGCTGCCATAAATCTCTGCAAAAATCGTGCTCCATTTCCCCTCTAAAAATGACACAAAAACGAAGCAAGGCACAAGGCTACTTGGGTGGGTGTTGTGCGTGTTGGTTGTTGTTGTTTGTGCGTGGTGTTGCTGTCCCTTTTCTTTGGGTTTTCGGTGGCCTATACATCAAGGTTACTAGCTTTACTCCCTTGGGTTAGAACTATTGGATTTTAGGGTTGAATTGATAGGTAGAAACATGGCTAGGATTAGGTTTATTTTCTGATTTTCGTTCACTTTGTGGCTGCTGTAATTTGTGTAATGTAGAGCTTGAATTGGTGATTTTAATCCATGTTTTTGTGCCCAAACTTGATTGATATCAGAGCCTTGATGTTGTATGATCTTTGTATGATGTTTTTAATGAGTTTTACATGGTTCTGAGGCTCGAAATGCACCATGGGTATTGCTGAAATGTTACACACCTGTCATGAGTTTTGTTGTGGTTGTGAGGCATTTTTAACCTATTTTCTTGGGCTTGTTCTTGCTGATTAATGTGTGGTGGTATATTAGGGATTGTTAGGTATAAGTTCCACGCGTTAAACTTTGATTTTGGGCATGTTTTGGACTTGTTATTGAGCATGGGAAACCAAAATCCGCGAAGTTACAGCATGTTATGCGTGAGTGTGAGGTCAGAAATCTGATTATATTGATTGATTTTCTTGCCCAATATAATTTAGTATCATGTTAGGATATCACCTAATTAATTTGGCATGATTCCAAGCAAGATTGATTAGTTTTAATGACCTAAAACTAAGAAGAGGTGTTGCTGCCACGTCTGTTGTGAACCGTGTGGAATGAGTGAATTTAAGTGATGTGTTGCCTAATTTTTATGCCTAATCTTGTGCCTATCTTGACCTATTATGTTTTTAGAGTGTATACTCTAATGGGCTAAGCTTACTTTCATGTTTAAGGTGGGCTTTTGGGTGATTTGGTATGATTGGTACTGCTGTATATTAGTGTAGGGGCTGCTTATAAATATGATTTTATTTGGACATGTTCTCTCTTGCATTTTAAGTCCGAAATGGTTTTATACGATGCATATTGAGTGTATGTATGTGCCCTAATTTTTATTTCGCATTTGAAGCATGTTTGGTTGGGTTTTTATGATGATTTTTGGACTTATATGTTGCTGCCCTTTTTTGGTTGTTTTATGAAATTGTAGTTTGGATTTTTGGTTTTATCAAATGAATTTATGGAATTTTAATTATAACTATTATATATTAGTTGAAATTATATTTTAAATAAGTGATGTGTGAATTTTTGGGTATTATAAACCCCTAAAGTAAAATATTTTGGTGTGTGTTTGAATATGTGTGAGTTGTAATTGTATTGTCGACGTTGTAATGCTTTAGAGAAGGATAACACTGTCTTTAGCATTACTTCGCCAAGAGTTGTGAATGCACTTAATTGTTGAATTCCGATAATTAATAATATTCTCAAACTCAGACGATACCTTTCGTGGTTTATTAAGTTGAAATGTGTTTGGAAATGGAGTTTCAATTGAATTTAAGAAATATGATTTTCTTATGCAGTTTGAATTGAGTGTAAGACCATTTAGGCGGCTTCTCTGCAGATTTTTGAGTAAAATATATTATATTAAGTATCTAAAAGGATTTTGAGTTGTGTGTGGGGCCATAGTCGGGTGTGAGGCCGAGTTGCTTCCCGATGGTTAAAGAACATGCTAACTACCTTGATTGCGAGTCTTAGGTAGCTCAACCTGGGTTAATTGTTGTCGTCCGGGGGTAATGTGAGGCCGATTGGCATCTATCCATAGTCGGGAGTTTGGTCAATCTTAGACACATTCTTTGCGAGATGACCAGGGGTTCGTCCTAACAAACCTTAGGAAGTGGATTGCTAGGCCACTTGCGTTGCCTCCATGCCAATTTTACTGTTTTGAATATTTTGTGTTTGAAATATTGAAACTATGAAGTTATTACTTATTTTGAAGTTTATATAAATTATGATTGAAATTAAGTGATTTAATATCGTTTTCTCGTTTTAAGTTGATTATGACATATTTCATAGTTTGCGTGGTTTGATGGTTTTAAGTGATTTCTTTTGAGTTTTCAAGTTGTTTGAGGTTGTGGTTTCTTTCTATTAATTTAAGTTTGAAATCTTCTATTTCTGATTTGAGGGAGAACTTCTAGTTGCTCCCCACTGATTGTGGAACGTTGTTGTAATTTGCAGGTTCTATTTGTTTATGATCTCAATACCAAGGAAATACTTTAAATTTCCCAAATCTTCATATGAAAACAATTACTCAAATATTTCTTAAATGTAGAAATGGTAGAAGAGTCATTCCCAGAAATGATTAAGTCATCCACATAGACTAGTATACTAAGTTGTGTACTACCACGAGTCATAGGTAAGAGGGAGTAATCTGAGTATGACTGGGAAAATCTGTACCTTTTTGAGAGACCCGACCAATTTCGCAAACCAACACCACGGTGCCTGAGGTAAGCCGTATAAAGATTTCTTCAAACGACAAACCATACAAAGTCGAGCACCATGGAATCCAGGAGGAGGCCTCATGTACACCTCCTCATCAAGATTCCCATGATGAAACGCATTATGAACATCCATATGATGTAGTTCCCAGTTTTCGCAGCAACCACATCTAGGAAAGCACGGACCGTGACCATTTTAGCAACTGGAGCGAATGTCTCATTATAATCAATGCTTTCTACTTGGTGATTTTCGAATATGACTAGACGAGCCTTTAATCGCTCAACAGTGCCATCAGAATTATGCTTGATTTCGTAGACCCATTTACACCCAAGAGCCTTCTTCCCGGGAGGTAACACTTCCATTACCCATGTCCCATTATCTTCTAATGCCGAAATTTCCTGTTGCATTGCTTTCTTCCACCCTTCATCAGTCTTAGCTTCTCTGAAATTCCGGGGTTCTATTCCTACAAGGACGGTTGCAAGAAATATACGGTGTCGCATAGAAATTTTTTCACAATTCACAAAATGTGCTATTGGATAGGCAGTACCTGAGGAGCATGAAGATGATGAACTTGTGGAAGGACTCGTAGCTTGAACAGTATGTGCATATGCCAACCAGGTGCACGACATTATCTAACACCGCGCTGTAACTCCGAAGAAGTATTAGAGGCATTCAAATCCTCTGAACAAGAGCTACCAGCAGCGTCCATTTGGCTAGGAAAAGTGCTTCCAGCAGTAGCAATCATGACAGGGGCAGCAGTGTCATCCACGACCAGGCTACGGCCACCCTTAGTCACCGCGGGAGGGCTGCAGACTGTGCTGCCTGTAGCAGCCCCTACGGCAGAAAAATAAGCATACTCTCCCTCGCCATTTGCCCCTAAAGTGGTCTCCAAATCATCCGAAAATTCGGTGTCGACTCCCACATTATTCCCCATAAAATTAGTGGCAGCCTCATTAATTTCGGGATCGACATTTGAGTTTTGAACACTTGCAAACGGGAACTCATTCTCATAGAACTTCACATCTCGTGACACAAATATATCCCCCGTCTCAAGGTCATACAACTTCCAACCCTTCTTCGCATTTGGGTAGCCTAAAAATACACATTTTCGACTTCTAAGTGCAAATTTATCCCCTTTGGATTTTTGATTATGAGCAAAACAAAGCGAGCCAAACACTCTCAATTCATCAAAGTTTGGTTCCTTACCAAATAAGACCTCATACGGTGTTTTATTTTGCAAAAAACAAGATGGAGTATGATTAATCAGATAAACCGCCCCAAGAACACACTCACCCCAAAAACCAATAGGCAAATTTCCTTGAAACATTAAAGCACGCCCCACATTCAAGATATGTTGATGTTTTCGCTGTACCCGACCATTTTGTTGAGATGTCCAACACATGATGTTTGAAAAAATAATGCCTTTTTCATCAAAATAAGAAAGCATGCATTAAATTCGGTACCATTGTCACTCCTCACCAATATAGCAGAGACCTCAAATTGTCGTCCAATCATAGCAAAAATTGAACGAAATGCGGAATTAACATCATTTTTAGAATCTTGTAAATAAACCCAAACGCCTCTTGAATAATCATCAACCAATATCAAAAAATAATGAGCACCAAGAAGGAGTTTTATACAACTCCCATAAATCACAATGGATTAATTCAAAAATACGACTAGCTCTACTATCACTATTATCCCAAGATTGTTTTGCCTGAGGGAACACATCACAAGCTTTATTCAATAATCTTCTAGTACTACTATCACGAATTGCAAGAACTAACTTGACAACTCTATCCGACGGATGCCCAAGTCTTCTATGCCAATCAAAATCCGATATTTCGGGACCTTGCACCACACATACTGTAGGAATACGCCGAAAGTAGTAAAGTCCTTCCTTTCGTTCACCGGCTCCAATCAGGCTCCCGATCGTTGGTCTTGTATAGCACACAAAGAATAAGTGAAACAGACAAAATAATGTGAATTATCAATCATTTTAGACACCGATATTAAATTGCATTGTAGTTGAGGAACAAATAAAACATGCTCCAAAAATCAAATTATCTGCCAAAAGGACACGACCTTCCTTCGAGGCGAATGCTTGATCACCATTAGGAAGACCGACGGGACACAGTGAGATAGAACAAACATCCACCAAGCAAGACTAATTACCCGTCACGTGATGAGATGCTCCCGTATCTATAATCCAAGAGGAACATAATGACTCACCTAGCAACAGATCTTGTTGACGATGATTCACCATGTTAAGTAAAGCTCGAACATCCTCGGGTTTATGGTCCTGCAAAGAAACATTAGCATCATTTATGCGAGTTGGCTCCACGATGTAGATACCCCATTGCCCACGACATTAGCCCGAGCAGCCCCAACCGAACCTGCACGACCAGCAGCAGCTGTAGAAGGGCCTGACGATGTGCAAGAAGAAGAAACAACAGCCTCCTTGGCTCCCCCACCATATTTGTCCAGCCACCATTGAGGGTATCCGTGGAGTTCGAAGCAACCACTATTGTCATGGCCTGATTTTCGATAATGAGAGCAGGGAAGTTTAGACTTATCTCAATGCGGTGCACCACCCTTGCCACGGTCAAAGGATAGTGAAAACACATGAGCTTCCTTTGCTTTCTCTTAATTAGCCTTTCCATGAGCAATTCCACGCGACTCCTCTTGGAGGAGGGCTTGATATGCCGGATTAATATCAGTAGGAGGCTCATGTGATAACAGGTTTGTTCGCACAATAGCATATAGATCGTCATCAACACCAATCAAGAATTGATGTAACAATTCTTCCTCTTTATCAGCCGCATACTTTCCAGCGACATTACAAGTACATAGGCCACATTCGCAACCGTGGGCGGCTTGAGTCGCGTGAGGTCATCAAACAAGCCAATTAATTTATTATAATAGTCCTCAACGGACATACCCTTTGTCTACTTACAGTCAGTAATCTTCGACCGAAGTTGCTGCAGTCGGGGGCCATTAGAGACACAGAATCTCTTCTCCAAATAATCCCATAAACGCTTCGCCTCTTCAAAATAAGGAATGGACGCTGCAATTTTCGGGTCCATAGACCGTAACAGCCATGACACAAGCATGGAGTTAACTGTTTCCCAATCAAGCAATTTCTTTTTCTCAAGCGGTTTGGTGATAGTTCCATCCACAAACACAAATTTTCTACGAGATCGTAGAGACAAAGTAATCGCCCTAGACCACGCTAAGTAATTATTACCCTTCAAGACTACGTGAGTAATCAAATTTCCAGGTTAGTTTCCTGCGCCTAGGTAGAACGGAGAAGACAAATCAATTTTCCCGTCATCCACCAGGGTTGATGCTTACACTGTTAGAGAGGAGAAAAAAAATCGATTTTTAGGGTTTGTAGGCTCTAATACCATGTAAGGAATCAATTTCCCTTAAACTTCATTCACAGTTAAGAAAAGGTTTATATTAACACAATAGGCCTATAATTAATAATGGCCAATTAGTATAAACATTAGCTAAATATAAGGCCTAACAACAATTAAACTCTACTCCCACAACTACATTGTCAAGCACTCATTTTTTTTACTAAGTAATGATTTGAATAAGTCAAACCACTAAAAGCTACTGAAAAGCCCTTAAGTTTATATGCTGGTATGTTTGTTAGATCCATTGTTTGATGGAGTAACTTTTTAGGAAGAGAGGGAGAGTAACTTACATGGCCTCTATCTTAGTTATATGTCGATATTTTTTTTTTTTTTAATTTTTTTTTATATGATGTTAATCTTTTCTAAAACATTTTATTTTTTATTTCCAACAACAAAAGCATAAGATAATGAAAACAACCCAATTCAGATAATACGTGCCAAAAATTCCCATTTAGATGATACCTTTACCTTTTATATTAATAACTGCTCGTGCATCACACATGCCAAAGGGTAAAATTCTAGCTAAAAAATGAAATTACGGAAAATATTACTTCCTCTGTTAAATGTTAATTACAACAAAAGAATATTTTATATCTCACATATAATACCCCTTTGTTACGATTAATATTTAACAATAAAGTAAATAAAATAAAGCAAAGGATTGAGGTGTACTGGATCACATTGCATCCAGTGATCTCATGAATTACTACTTAGTTAGAGCATACAATTCAGAATGGGTTATAAGGTTAATCCTGCAATTCAAAAAGCCCATATCACATGGGCCCATGACTGAGTCATCTACATTAATCCAGAGCCCATTGAAGATGGATCCAATGGCAGATGCCCATGAATATTGGGCTGAGTGTAGCAGTTCTCAAAGCTATATGATAAATCTTCTTCACTAGTTTGTGGCCCAGAAATATAGTCTTCTGGAGGCCCATAAACGTTGAGTAGTAATGCAATTTCAGCTTGGGCCTTAACCAGTTGATTTTGGGCCACATTTAATTCTTGTTGTAGTTGGTAAATGAGTTTAACACAACCGTAAACTGGATCTTGAACTCGACAATGTGCTTCATAGTGTAAACAATTTGCTGCATCTTCTCTCAAGTGCACTGGAATCCTCTGCATATTAACATGGAAAAAAAAGTTACATTTATTTTCACTAGGATGAAAATACTTAGGATGCAATGATATCGAATTACCGATAATAAATTGAGACTCTGGAGTATAAATTAATGTTCCAACTATTCATTTTGAAATCAAAGAACTCGATTTATTTTTCTCCATGACTTTATTGTAACATAATTTTACGATTTTTAACCAAAATGGCAAAACCCCGTGTCAATTGCCACAAGTGCTTACAAAAAGCTTACATACATGAGCTAGATTATGCTACTCGTGAATTAGATGAGTGCATCATGCACCAAATTAATTTACTTGCAGTCATAAATTGAACCTTGTTCATGATATCATTGATATGAGATGATTTGGACAATATGGTTGATCAAGAATTTTCACAAAAGGGTACATGTAGAACATGCTACATAATATAATAAAACATACCCGTAAGCCATAATCTTTAGAAATTAGCACGATAATCAAAATATGTTTATTTCTTCTCTAGTAACCAATAAGGATAGTATATACATCCTTCGTCTCTAATGAACAACATTTATAGATGGTGGGGCGAGTAGAATGAAACATAAAGATATGCTATAATACCTGAAGCATTCTGGCAATATTGCTGGCACCATAGATTTTGTGCACATTTTCAAATCTTTTAGGATCATTTGAAGGGAAATAAGGTGAGAAAATACAATCTGATGGACATCTTTTCCTCAAATATTTGCAAGCTGCACAACGAGAATTGCTAGCCATTATATTATACGAAGATTTAACGAAAAATGTGTAAGATTTTATGAATCTATGTGTCGTTCTTTGCGTATAATCTAATAATATATGGAAGATCTTATACGGCCAAAATATTTAGATTGCAAATGACAAAACTTTTAATTTTGTATAGAGACATTAGAGCTTGTTATGGAGGGAAAGGAGTTCCTAACGGCTAAATTTATTCAAAATTTGCGCTATTTTTTGGAAAGTTTTTATAGCCTTAATAGTTTTGGAGCGACAATCATATAGCCGTTACTCAATTATACTAGCTCATTTAGCTTAATGCATTCTTTTTTTAAATTACAAATTTAATTTAATGTATTATATAATATATATATTTAATGGATATCCTTTATATCCTTATGATTATTGTAGGATATTCTAGATATACTAGACTTATTATTCTACAAGGAAACTCTAATTATATCATATATATATATATATATATATATATATATATATATATATATATATATATATATATATATATATATATATATATACTCCCACAACATTTAGTAATAAGAATATCGATCTATTATCTCCCCTACTTTCTCCTATTCCCTTTATTTCACAACACGTTATCAGCATCAAAGCTCTAAATGATTAACAATTCTTTTGATTCCTAAATTAAGTGGATACATATTATACATAATAGCTTTTTGATTAATCGATTGCTCATCATATGTGAAACAAAAGTTATTTGTGTTCAGCAAAATATTAGACTTTGATTGTAGACGATAAGAAGAAATCAGCCCACCTGCAAAGGAGACAAACAAAGGAGAGCAACTTTGCGGGTATCCCTATATTCTTTTCTCCATATTTTATTGAATTTGTCAGATTATTGTCCTACTTAAAATAAACTAACTATAAGGTATTAAACTATTTATTTAATTGATTAATTTATATGCTCCGTTTTTTTTTATTGAACTGAAGTATGAAGTTTTTATTAATATGGGATATAGCTATTGATTTGTTTCAACTAATTTATCTTATTTGAATATCTATAATTTCGGAGAATGAAGTCAGTTGGTGGTTTCATCATCAATCTCCGTCGAATTATGTGATGATATATTGATTTTAAATTAAGAGTTTAATCATGTTATTAAATGTACATTAGACGCTGGCCATGATCTTATATATAACAATTTTTGTTAAGTGCCTTGTTCTCTTTGATGTTGAGTGAGTATTAGGTAGGTGAGATTTTGAGAAAATGGTTGTTAAGCCATGTGATCGATAAAGTACGTTATAAAGTACTCCTAGTGATAAGTACGAAATATTAGAGTTGCATTTGGTTGAATTAACTATTTCATTGGTTTTGGTTGACTTCGAGAATAATCTTAGTTTATCTTGGATAAGTTTGGTTGCTTTTTACTTCGTATTTGGTTTTATATAAGGTTATGCCATTATAAATTATTTATTTCATGATTTTGCGTTGATTTTGAAATTATAAATTCTCTTATAGGAGTTTGTTAATATGTGGCTAATGTGCTAATGACTTATTAAGATGCATGTAATTTACTCGTGCTAATATTTGTTGTGTAAATTGTTAAAAACGTGTTTGTTTATGGGCTCTAAGGCCTCTAACAGTTGATGATTGTTTGTTCTACTTTTGAATAATTCACGTTAAACTTTCTCCTTTGATCTAGAGGCCTAACAAATGATATTCTTGAGCATTGAGTATGTACATGCTAATTTCTTTTATGTGAGTATTCCCATATACTTTGAGTAGTTGCATATGGATGTCTGTTGCTATTAGCCCTTACTTACCACCATCACCATTTACTTCACGAGTATCCTTATTGGCTTGACTTAAAAGGAAATTTAATTAGGATTAATTCTTGTGAACTTGTGAAATATGTTTAATTGCTAGAGTTGTAGCCTTTATTTTTCTTGTTGAAGGTTTACATGAGACCCATTTTTTTTTTCTCTATGCTTGCTGATAGCAAAAGTGAATGGTAACAAGTAAGGTTGTACAAAGTTCAGTTAGTATGTACTCCACATTTGGTAAGAATGGGAAAATAGAAATCATACTTCTTGACTGTTTATAAATGTTCTGTACATGAACTTTTGTTATGTGAGGGTAGCAAGTTATTTCAGTTGTTTATAGTACGTATAATATTTTATTTCCCCACGAAACTAATTGTCATTCCATATATTTATAATAGGAGTCATGTTTATTTCCATGTAACACATACATGTCTCTAATGTGGAGGTATCCAACTATTAATAATTAATTTCTCTTAAGTATTTCACATAAGCTAAGGCATACGAAATTGTGGGTGATGTTGGATTATGTGCTACAAAATTTTATGAATGACCTTGATATCTCAAGTATGGTTTTTCCACTAACATATGACACGTTAATCTTGTGTGCTCATCATGTGGTTGCTCTTGTTTCCTAAGCTTTGTTTTGGCCAGTATAGTTGAGTATATCAACTAAGGTATGTTTTGATTACAGCTTGAACTAATTAATTCCCATTTTGTTATTACCTTCTTGTTCTAAAATATGTATTTTGTCTAATTAATTTATTTGAATTAAGTTAAGTTAATTTATTTAAATTGAAGGTTTCATTTTTGTAAATATTTGTTTAGTAAGGGATAATTGTTTAGTAGACATGATAATACATGAAGCTGGATTATTGGAATGATGTGTATATTAAACATAGAATTCTCAGACATATGAACCTGAAGTTCCTTAAATTTATAATAAGTTAGAAACCTTCTAGAACAATCTAGAAATGTCTAACAGTTTTGAAAGTATGTTGACTAGATTATTCTCCGTTCACAAAATTAATGTGTTCTTATATATGTCATACGACACTTATTAGCTCATTCTCATAAATGAATGAGAAATCTTATGATTATTGAAGAATTAACAAGTATATTTGCATGTTGTTTCTTGATTATATAAATAATTTATGGAAAAGTTCATAAGAGTATCTATTTGAGCAAAGAATAGTGTTATGAGTTCAAGAAATTAAACATGCTATTTTGAGCAAATTACTTGAAAAATGTATTTATTATGTTCATAGTTTACAGAATTTCATGCCCATAGTTTACAAAATTTTCAATATAAAGATTAATATTATTGGGCAAAAGGAACAAAAGTTTTATAAGAATATTTTTCTTTGCTTGATACGTGACATTACCAAAGAATTTATGCCTTACAAGGTGCAAGGGATTTCAAGATTGTTTATTTCATTATCATATGTAATCCTTGCATGAATTATATGATGCATTGATAGTCAGTAGTGCATACATTAGCTTTAATATCAATGTCAATAATTTATTTAATAAAGCGATCACATAATATTACATATTTACAATGACACTGTCCTGAAAATGGATATGAATAAATGTCATTGACTATATATTAGCTGTAAATGCTCCAATTACAATCAATGTCCCAGAAGGACAACATTGGTTACTAATGAAGGAAGTGATAAATCCCATTACATTTCTAGGAAAAATCACTTTTAGTAAAATCCATATGTTCCATGATTATATAAAAGACTCCAGAAAAGTATTAAATGTCCAACAAGATTAACATGTATCAAGATTATAGTAAAATCTCCAGCAGAGTATGAGTAATTATTGGATAAAGTATTAGTTGATTGTCTTGCCAATTGTATAAAGAAACACATGTCAGTATTCTAATATCACATCATAGTCATGCCATGCATAAATAAATTTAAGTGATCATTAGTGTTGGAAAACTGACCAAAGTTCAAATTTAGAGAAGTGACTGGATGTGATGATTAAATTAGGCCATCCGAGTTCAATAATTACCCGTTTTAGAAAATCAATGTTTCATTTGACATGAAAAAAAAAATTAATTATGTGCTGACGCTATCTCATGTTAGATATATGAGATGAATTGAACGGCAAGACATAACATTGAGATTAAGTTATATTTAGATTGTGATTTAATAGTTTACTTTGAAGAAATTTCAAGAGATTATATGCTAGTTTTGAACTATTTTGCATGTGAACAAGTAATAAGTGGCCAGAAGCTCACTAAAACTTATATGTGTAGCAATTTTGAGTAATTAGAAACTTATTATTAAAGTATTTGAAGAATTAGAAGATCATGAATTTACATACAAGTGATTAAAATAGTAAATTAATCTCTTGATTGGGGCTATTTTATATCAGCACATAAAAAATAGTAACAAAAAAACAACTGCACAATTTATGATCCCTATTAACATTGATCTCTAGAAGGGAGCAAAATTTTATTATTCACCAGAAAAGTTAGAAATTTGTTGAATATGATTATCTTGAAAGATTTGTTGCACATAAAATTATATTCTAAGTTAGTGAAGAATTTCCCCATTATATGAGATATTTTACCAACTTAGGGGGAGAAGAATTAAAGTAAGTTGGCAAAATTATAATATTATAATTAATTGATCCCTCTATTGGTACTTTGTAAAGTTACATGCCAACCTTTGTATCAAGATTTTATAATTTGATTTGTATTCAGTTATGACTCATGTTACACAGCGTTGAAGATATATTTTGGTCATATTATGTGTATACATTGAGATAAAATCTTGTCAATTATATTTGAAGCACTACACCTGAAGTGTAGATTGTATGATCGGTTCCAAAATAAAGATATGATATATGGCAAGATAGTGCAGTTACCACTTTTAATAGTGTGATAATATATAAGTACTATAGTGTATAAAATACCCCAAAAGTGGTATAGATATCCGAATAATTACAATAGATGGCCTATGATGTAAGAAAAGTTATGATGGTACCAATGAGAAATGTATTCAGATATCATTATCAAAGTAGCATGCAAATTAAAATTGCATCTTGAGGAATTATATAATACCGGTATATGATGGAACCGATAAATAATATGATATGCAGAAAGAATGGACTTGTGAGTAAGGGATCAAAAATATATGTCCATTTTTTATGTCGACATGAAACTAAAATAATAAATCAAAAATTTATCACGGACTAGTAGTCCAATTAGAAAATGGATTTCTGAAATCCACACTGTACAGTGTTTACATTTTTTTAGTCTTTTATTTATGTGCATGTTTGAGTTTTAGATTTATGAATTACTCATTGTATGTATAGGATGTAGTTTGATGCATTACTCATTACATATATATTTTGTTTAATGTTTTTATCATGAATTCTACATCTCAAATTGCATGCATTAGTTCTATACAACAATTGTGTTATATGTGAATGTTTATGGTATGAAGAGTTTATAATTATGATGAAAGCTTACAAGAAGAAATTTATATTTCGATGGGCTTATAATTGTGATGAAAGTTTATATGATGACAATCCAATAGTATGTTATAAATCATGCATGAAAAGTCCCCAAAGAACTTATATACAACGTATTCAAATATTTAGCCCTTCAAATTCTATATTCTGAAAAATGACAATGTTGATATTGTTATCAAACTCATGAAGTGTATTGGTGACTAAGTTATTGATATATCAACCTAAAGTTTAACCAAATGAGAGTTAATCGATTTTTATATTCATTGGAAAACTCCCGTATAAAGTGCAAAATGTCTAAAGAAGAATAGTAATGAGCTATATTACAGTAAGGATAATCTTCTTATGGTCTAGAAGAACCATGAGTAAAGTATATAATAATACTTATGTTATATTATTACTAATTCATATAAGCTTAGTTAATGATATCAAGATATCACGAGTTGCCATAAATTATTACCAATATTTGAATACCAATAGCTACTTTTACGACCTCTAAAAGTAGGCATAATTTTGATAGTAAGGCAACTTGAAACAAAAATATCATATAAGATAGTGGTAAACACAACATAGGTATTGTTCTCACAAGTATGGATACATGAAGATGCTTTACAGTGAAGATTCAAGTTTGATCAGGGAGGATCAACTATTAAGGAATGTTATTCAGCTACAAGTGTGAAGTTACTAAGCCATTGGATTCATTACATTGGAAGATTTCAAGTTATGCATTCATCAGGGGGAGAAAATACGCGTTGCACTCTTTTTCTCTTAACCATGGTTTTGTCCCACATTGGGTTTTCCGGTAAGGTTTTAAACGAGGTAGCATGTCAAGACGTATTATGAAAGTGTTGTACTCTTTTTCCTTCACTAGGTTTTTATCCCATCGGGTTTTTCCTAGTAAGGTTTTAACGAGGCACACTATTCGATAATGGTCATCCAAGGGGGAGTGTTATATAATATATGTGTTTAGTGGATGTCCATTATACCCTTATGATTATTCTAAGATAATCTAGATATACTAGGCTTATTATTTTACAAGGAAACCCTAATTGTATTATTATTATTATATATATATATATATATTTATTTATTTATTTATTTATGTACTCCTACATCATTCAGTAATAAGAATATCGATCTATTCTCTCCACTATTTTCTCCTATTCCTTTTATTTCACAACATAATGCTTTTATTAAGGATATTTTACACATACAGTCATATACCTGTCATGAGTGTCATCCAATAGTTAATCATAATCGATATAATAAAAGGTTGAAACTTGACATGCATAAATAAAATGGTTTGACCATCATACGTAATTTTATATGCTAATAGTTTTGTCTATGCATGTAAGAGTGCAATATTTGTAAAACATAAAATTAAATTAAGAGAACCAATTTTATAAGGTGCAATGACAATTTTATGATAGTTATGTGATATTATTATGAGTTTTAATTTGGTGTGGAAGTCTAACGAGCCAAGTGATAAACGACATTGTTATGACAATATATGTACATCCTATGACGGATTTTATTATTTTTTATTTTTAAAGGTAAAATATAGGGTAATTAGAAATGTCTTCTCGCAAGACCTGCTTGATGGCTAAATAATCAACGGAGAAATGATATATTTTAATTCAATATATGATCTCAACTCATACACTAATGAGTTTTATCTCTTCTTTTCTATTCAATCCTATGTGATTTCTACTTCATTAGTTCAGAGCCATCTACTTATCATGGTTTCTTCAAAAAAAAACAAAAATCTACTTATCATGGTATCAAAATCAGCAAAATGCAAAGTAGGATTATCAGATCAACTTATCCCTATAATCAACGTTGTATAAAAAGATCATAATAACTTTTCTCATTCAACTAAAAAACAATAACATTATACTAACCATGACAAATTGACAATTGCGAATTACCAAAAAGATTTTAGGCCATCCTTATTACCTACTCTGTACTACTATATAAAATTACTTAAAAAAGACATATTTTACCGTAATTTAGAAATTCTTAATTTAAAAAAAACTCACAAAATTGTGTATACGACATATGAAGGACCAATTTCAAACATTTTCTAAATTTAAATTCCCAACCCGTAAACATGGAAAAAAAAATTTAGACATCCAAAGTGAAATTACAAACCCAAAAGATTTGTTTTTTTTTGCAAAAATTACTGTTTAGTTTTTCTCAATCATAGGATATAATAATAATATTCTACAATTTATAGTTAGAAAATTTCAAAGACATGGAATGTCAAGATTTAAATTTTATGCTAACAACAATTTTAATTCATATGCATGATCAATGCTACATCTTTGTCTATGTACTTGTACCTCGTAAGTACATAAGTAAAAACATAATATTGGTTATACCTTGTAAGATACAACTGATTGTCGAAAATCCTCAACTCCATGTTAATCACAGGCAGTAGTTGAGCTCCATATATAAATATTTATATACTCATGCAATAATAATATAATATGCATGTAACAAACAATATAATGACCATAAAACATGCAGAGAATCATGGAGACAAAGATTGAGCAACATATACATGCATAACTTCAAAGCAGTTTATCCACAATCCCAATGTAACAAAACATTATTAAAAGAGTCAAGTAAAAGAAAGTCATTGGCTCTAGCTTTTATTGGTTGAGTTTTATGTAAATTGATCGAAAACTAAACTTTGTGTTGTTATCCTTCAAAGCAGTCATCGATCACTTCCCGCCACGGCAGCACTAAATTTAATGCTTCACTTAGGCCCCATGAAATCAGCCCCACCATCCTGCCAAAGTAGTGCAACAAAATACATTGTATAAGTTTACTGTTATGATTCAAGGGAGCCGAAAAGAACAATGATAATGTAGATGGGTTTCGAGTTATGACTTAATTATTCTTGTATATACTAAAAATATTGTACCATAGTCTATTAAATTATCAATTAGAGTAGTATGTTTAACATGTTAATATGAATTTTAACATAATTTCGGACTTCCTGTATGTACTAGCCTTAATAGTTCCAACTCAAATGTCTAAAGATGGATTGGAGTGCATCGATTGATCGAGATATATTTTCATGCATGCATAATATACTAGAAAAAGGCCACGCAAATTGTACGTATATATGATATGTATTGCTTATATGTTTCTAATTAAGGTTTCAGTTCTTACTGTTAACTTTAATTAGACTATAATAATTTCTTAACTACTCCATCATATAATAATAGTAAAATTATGAATGGATGGTTATTTAGATTGAATCTAGCAACAAGTGTTTTTAATAAATTATTGTCAAAATTAGACCTTAAAATGGTGATTGGTGAAAACAACACTTATTTTAGAAACAGAGGAAATACATTTTATTTTTATATATGCTTTCAACTGCGCAATATTTTATTACCTATTTTAAAAACATATAAGTAAATTACATGTATTTGAATATGTAGAAAATAAACCAATATAAGGATTGAGCTAGTGAAGTTATACTTTTCAAGTATCAAGTAATATTCCTATATACTAATATTGACCATTGTAATTTCAAGCAAGAATATCAATTAACTTGCCTGCTGATTGAGGAATTCTGGTCCACTCTCTTGAGCAAAATAGTTTTCGAAAGAGATGTCATCATTGCTAGTAGGAATTCCCTGCATGATATTAGTGCACATTATTATTGCATTGCATATATTAGATTATTAATACTCCCGTGAATCTTTACATAATTTCTCATACAATAATAATTATACTGAAGAGCTCCAACTCAATTGTCTAAAGATGGAGAGCATCAATTGAGAGATTTATGCGTAAGATAAAATAAAAATGCCACACAAAATGATGTATCCACTATGTTTTTATCTCATTGGTTTCAATTCTTAATGTCGACTTTTATTAGTCTAATTTCTTAACTACTCCATATAATGATGGTACGAATTATGAATAGATGCAGGGGAAGGTTATTATTTAGCATTGAATCTAGCAATACTTTTTAAAATAAATATATAAATTATTGTCGAAATTAGACTTCAAAAGGTGAAAACAACACTTAATTTAAAAACAGAGGAAATACATATGCTTGCAATTGCGCAATATTTTATTACCTATTTTTGGAACATATAAGTTATATATTACTTGTATTTGAATATGTAGGAAACCAAATATTAGGGTTGAGCTAATGAAGCTAGTTGTGCTTTTCAAGTAACAAGTAATTCATATATACTAGTAATAACAATAATAATTTCAATATTATCAAGCAAGAATATATCAATTAACTTGCCTGCTGATTGATGAATTCTTGTCCACCCTCTTGAGCAAAATAGTTTTCGAAAGAGATGTCATCATTGCCAGTAATTCCCTGCATGAAATTAGTCTTAGAACATCGTTGCATTACATATATATACTAGGGAAACATTGTAATAAAAATGAATGAAATTAACTAAATTCACATATAATTAACTTCACTATTACTATTTGAGGGGTGTTAAAAATTAACTTGCCTGATCATGTCTTTGAGCATTGCCTTGCACATCAACAGGTCCAAATCCGGAATCAATGCCAAAATTGTCCTGCAAATATTCAGAAATTATGCTTGCTCAATAATATTGTTGTGAGTTTTGAGTTTCAAATTCATTCCTCTTATCAGAAATTTACCATGAAAAGCAATTTCTATATATTTTCGATTACAAATTTCTGAAACATACTATTATGATCAAAATGAATAAGTTCATTATGCAAGTAATCATTTATGTCATACAGAGTAAATAGCTTATGACTCACAACCAACCATTTAATTTTGATAGTAATTCCAAACAAGTCCTTAATTAACCACAGTTATTAACTAAACTAGCCGCACAATAATATGTAACATTATTATACCGTAAAATCAAAGAAAAACATAAAAATGGGGGCAATAATTAAACTATAAAAGCAAGGTTAGTTGATTAGATATATTACCTGATCAATTGGAAGCTCAATACCAAGTTCCATTAATTCATCGCCTTGCATGTTTGGCATTTCTTGTGACATTCCAAAGGGATTTGCTTGAGGAGTTGCAATTTGATCAACATTAGGTGTGTACAAATTCCGACCATCGATATCAGAGAAAAGATCAAGAAGAGGTGTATTAGTATTATGAACTGAATTATCAGCCAAATTCATTTCATAATTGACCTCTTGAGCATTATTAGCATTCTCGGTATGATTGGTACCATGTATGCCATTAGCCAAGTTAGCATTAGCAACATTATCACCAAGAACTATTGGTGTGTTGTTAATAGGGCTAATCAGCTCCCCATCAGTACTTAATCGAAGCCCGACATAGTTATTATTGTTGGTTGGAGGAAACTGGTTGCTTAAAACCCTGCCGTCTATAGGACTTAGTCCTTGCTGATCAAAGCTAAACCTAGGAGAAACTTGTTTATGCATACGTTGAAGCTTTTGCAATTTGTTAAGTAGTTTGATTTTTCGATTTAGGCTTCGAGCTGCCTCACTAGGATCACTAGGAAAACCGCCCCTTGCTTGTTTCCTTGGAGCATTAACCCCTTGGGTGCTACTTTCCCCTACTTCAAAATTAGTAGGATCATTTGTTACACCTGTGAAAATAATTTTACAATTCATTAGCATCCTTGATCGATTATATTAAAACTTAAGAAAGTATTTTCAATTTTTCAATTTTGACAATTTATAAAATTTAATTGGCAAGTACATACATGTATAATTTATATTAATCAATTTTGAAATTTTCTAAACCAAAAAAGTTGAAACTTGCATTTGGTAGTAACATCCAACAATTATGCATTTTGGAACAATTATGCCCTAATGTATTAGTTAAGTACCCTGTACACTAGCTAGAATTTCAGATCCAATTGTTTATTAGTTATGGAGTTTTAATTACTTATATTACTATTATTAATATTAACAATACTATTACAAATTAAAAATCAAAAATACCTCCAAGTATAATCAATTTTAAATTGATAGAATAGTGTTTAATTAATTACCTAGAGTACGCTCTGCTAGAAGGCCTTGATACTGTTCTTGAATGCTGCCTGTAAGAAAGGTGATTTCATTCAACACAAAGCTTGATCTAAATGGCCTCTCATTCCAATTATTGGGAACGCCATCTTCATTGGCAGTTGTAGCATCTGATACCCGCTTCAAAAATATGCAATATTTCTATAAAACAAAAAAAAAATTATTTATATATTACCATATTCAGAAGAAAAGCAACACTTCCTTTTTTGAGAATTGAATAAGTTATAGTAATCATATATTAAGGACAATAAACCATGTAAATAAAATTAAATATTTTAAAATAACATAATGAAATAATTTTTTATACTGAGTAATATTATCGTGATATTATAAATCACTTTCTGCTCCTTTTCATATAATTAGAAACAAATAACCATAGAACAAATCTATTTGATAACAAAATCAGATCATAATTACGTGCAAGACACGTATGGTGTATCTTAATCATCGTGTGCATGTGCATGCATGGACACTGTTCTATTGAAGAACTAAGATTATTTACACACAAAATAATACTAGTAGCTAACAAATTATACAAGTATATATGGATGAAAATATCCTTGATAATAATCTTCAATTATTCTAGTGTATGATAATTAACCATATTGTAAAAAAATATAAAATAATCTTCAATTATTCTCGCGTATGATAATTAACCATGATGTAAAAAATAACTCACCTGCAAATGGCTTGCAATATTTTCTCTCTTTAGTCCTGGAACATTCATGTACTCCAACATTCTCTTGGGCACAGCTTCTATAAATTGAAAATTAAAAAAAAAAAAACCAAATGTTAATTCAAAGATTATATATTATATATTTCATATCCAAATCATGATATCAGATTTCTAGGAAAAATCAAATAAATCAAAATAAAATAAAATTGTGCAACTTACTGTCTACACCAAGGTTATTGACAGCCTCTAAAAATTGGCTATGAAGTGAGGTAGTCCAAACCAGCTTCGGCTTTTTGTTAGCTGATTTATTCTTCACACCCGTATTACTACGCCTTTTATTATTAGCATTGTTAGTGTAGACTAATGGTGTAGTAATTTCCTTGTTTCGGCCATTAGTAATAATTGGCGCGTAGTTTTGCACAATGTCATTGTTGTTAGTGTTGTTGTTGTTGTTGTTAATATTGTTGTTGACGCCATGCATCATTTCTTGTTGCTCAAGGATTCTCATCAAAGTATCGGGATCACTTGTTATGACACGAGACATGTCGATTGAAGTAATCGGGTTACCACTGCTATTAATTATACCCTTTGTTGGAATAGCAAATTGCCATATTTTTGAAAGATTGTGTGGAGAAATAGGCTTCACAAAGTAGAATAGAGCTCCACCTTGTAAACCTTGTAGGATGATGTCTCTGTTCTGGTCAGCAGACATTACTGCACAAATAATTTATCAAAAATGTTTAATTTGATTAGTTAATTAGACAACTAGAAATATATTTTTTTTCAAACAAAATAAAATTAAGACAAAATACCACCCTTTTATTGTCTAATAATCTATTTAACCTACAATAATTTGGAGTGATAATTGAAAAGGAATTGAATAGATTATAATAATTATTCCATGTAATTTTATTAATTGAACATATTAGGTACAAATGTAACATATGAATTTCAATGGCAATCCTTCAACAAAGATAAAATATATAAATACAACAAAAATAAAATAAATAAGAAATTCATGACCAAGTGATGTCATGGAACACATGAATTAGGCTATGTTGGATCCTTTTTATTAAAAATAAAAATAAACTTATCGGAACTTATTTTAATTTTCTTAAAAATTAACTGGTAATTCCGTAACTTATCCAAATTTTGTGTTTTTGAAACTTTTAGCTGAAAGAAAAACTAAGGTGGCGGCTTTAGTCTCCTTCTATAAAAAAAAATCACGTCGACAATTGATAAGGTTTTATAAAAGAAAAATTCTCATAAAAAAAAGAAAGAAAATTAAAAATATTGGGGAATTAAGAAAATCATAATGAGGGTTTTGTAAAAACACGTACTCCTTCCATTGGATTTCAAAAAAAAAAAGAAATCCTTCCGGTGTCTTTCAAAAGATTTCAACAAGAAAAACAAATAGAAACAGCGAAAATAAATTAATTAAAATTAATTAAGAAGTATAAAATACGGAGTATTATACTTACAAACAAGAGGAAGCTTGTACTCTTCTTCGACATGTTTAAGGAGCTCGATTCCACTCATATCTGGCATGTGCACATCCGACAAAGTCAAATCAAACGTTTTATCTTTCCTCCTCCTTAGTACTTCCAGTGCGTCTAATGGGTTGGTCACAGCAATGACTGTAGAATTAATGAAATTCAAACATTTCAGTATAAATTCATTGTATATACGTAGTATTATCAAAGAGTTTACTAAAAAGAATCAAATTAAAACTACATAAATAAAATTAACATAACTTGTTTCTTTTCAATTATGGTTTTTTTTTTTTTTTTTTTTGAAAAAATTTCAATTATGGTTTTGGGTGTTAACATATACAAGATAGTTGACTTGCATGTATTTCATGCAATTGACAAATTATAAAAAATAATTATAAAAAAAAAGTGTTACACTTGTACTTAAAACAAATTAAGACCCGTGAAAGGGGGAAAATGAATTAGTTTTAGTACGGAGTATCAAACTACCTCATTAAAAACAAATCACCTCATTCTATAAAGAATTCTGCTTGTAAAATTAGACATATAGGATTGAAAATAAATTAGAGAAAATTTTATGTCAAAAATAATTTTCTTGTAGAATCAAAATCTCAAAAATTTATGTCAACCAAAAATAAAAAAGTTTTTTTTTTTATGAATTTTAATTCAAGATTAAAAATACTATCAAAGTCGTTGTAGACACACATTTGAGTCTCCATACATCTTGAAAACTTTGAAAATAAAGAAGACTTTCATTTCCACCCCTTTTTTACGAAAAAAAAAATCTACAAGTTATTTCAGAAAAATAAGATAGATTTAAGAAATCACTTGCAAATAAATTACAAAAAAATTTACATTAAAACAATCTAAAACATGTATTCTAGATGAATAGCAAAGATGAATCGCTACCATGATGATTCATTTTTGTAAGAGCTCCTGCAAGAACTGAAAGACAAATTGCATCATCATCAATAATAAGGATGCTAATTCCAGGGTTATTGCTTGTCTTTTCCATATTAACTCTCACTAATCTCAATTTATGAAAAACTCTCCTTTTGCTTGAAACTGCCCTAAACACAACAAAAAAGAATTATGAAAATGTAACAAAGCTATTGGGTGATGACTTAAATGTAAGAAACAAATGCTCACTCTACTTCTTTGTGGACCTCTACAAATGTTTTCACCTCATGTATATATACATCATATTTGGGTTGATTACATTATTATCTTCCTTTTACCCAATAAATGCAAATCAGTTTTAAATAAAAAAGATAATGTGAATGATAAACGGTAAATTATACCGTTATGACGCCATTTGCCCACAGATAATTGGTTTATTTAATAAAAACTGTTGATTAGTAAATGAGCATTGTGTGCACGTGTTGCCATATGAATAGACTAAGAAAACTCTACTTATTATGAAGATCAATGTTTTTTGCACTTGATATTAAATTATTGGGAAGATTGTGTAAGATTTAGTTCCATAATCTAGAAAGGTGACCATAGCCTTATCCGATTTATTTCATTCAATTATATCCTTGATTTTGTTTTTAATATAGGAATATATCTACATAGCCTTAATCCTTAACACAAACATTGATTTTTAATTTTATTACACTATTTATCAATTGTAGAGTTATAATATGAGTTTTATTGTGAACATGTTATTGCGCAAATTTAGCCATGTTAACTTTTGAGTTGATGTTTTTTTTATCCGCTTTTGAGGGCATAGAGTGTTCAATCTAAGAAATCTGGATTATACGCTATTTGTTTAAAAGATAAGAGGGATAAAAGAGACACACTCTACTAATAATAATAATGTTGATTACGTATCGAATCATTTTTGTGGGAAAAAATTATACATAAAATAATACGGATAATGAATCATGATTTGAAAATACCGTATCTAGATTATTGATCTGATATAGCTTAAAAATATCATATCGAATCAATTAGATGTAATATTATTATATGTTTACATTCGATCTGATTCAATAAACTTGGAGTTTAAATTAAAGTCCAAATTACTGACATTAGAGAGAGTTATTTCAACTTTCAAGATCAATTTAACTATAAAAAAGTGTAATAACAACCCTTATGATTTAATCAAACAAATTAATTAAAATTAACATTTTAGAATTTGTAGGAAAATTATGTATGTTAGAAAATGAATCTAAAAAGTAGTTTGTTTATTTAATATATGTGCTGATGTGCATTTTAACAATAATTTAAACTCTTTAATGATTTTTACGGTTTGTTACTCTTTGTGACTAGATATAGATTATTTATACGAAATATTATTTAAATTGTGCATATTTTGCCATATGTATATGTATAACAAAGTCTAAAGTAATTACTTGGGAGTATTTTCTAAGAGTGGTATGTTATTTCAATTCCGTGGGTTTGAAAGCGGTGTCAACCCAATAGAACTCCTTACTAAACTCTAATTCAACTCAGTGAACTCACCATCTTTGTTTTTTGGTTGTGTTTGTTGAGTATTTATAGCAAAGAAAAAAAGTTGTTTTTTTTAGGGAAAGTAAAGAAAAAAGTTGTTTTTTTTAGGAGAGAAGAAAAAATAAAGGTGGTTGACATTTTTAAAAAAATAGAGTAAAGAAAAAGTTTTTTTTTTTTGGGAGAGAAAAGGAAAAAGGTGTTCGACATAACTTTAAACAAAAATAAATAAGTATGTCAAAGACTAATTTGCATTTCGTTATGTAACTTGTCATTTAATTCATAAATGTAATATGCCCAAATTACAAACAATTAGTGGAAAATAAATATTTTTAAAAAAGTAAGAAGAATAAAAAAAAATATGTTTGAAACATGCATGCATGATGTTATATATATATATATATATATATGACTTTAGGTGGATGCTAAATTTCTTTAGCTTGTTGCTTCAAAAAAACATAAATTTAACTAGCTTGTTAGTTCGAATTTTAGAGGATAGTACCAAAAATTTGAGATCGAATTATGTTTATATATATCATTTCAACTATTACAAATATTTTTAATTTCACCATTTGTCTATTTTAAAGTTTTAAATTAATTCTCGTCAAAAAAAAATGTTTTAAATTAATTGCTCAATTTCCATTTTTGATTTTCTTCTTTTAGACACGCCAATTTATACTCATTCTACTGTCTTAGTCATGTAATTTATTTATTTTTGGTGGTAGTAATCATTTAATATTAACAATAGTTACTCCACTTTTTTTCTTATCACGTGAGTATTTTGGTGCAAATCAGCAGCTGCATATAAAAAATAAAAATTTCTATTGAAATAGTAAAAGTTGTATTCTTTTCAACTTATTTTTATTTATTTCAGGAATAATTAGTTCATAATCCATATAAGATTAGTTGGTAAAAAATATGTTCAAATAAATCCACTTTTTCTCTCTTGTTTGTTTCTTATCATGTGAGTATTTGCAAATTACCACCTTTTACATTTTTTATTAAATTAATCTAGTACTGGTTATCAACTGGCGTATTAAAAAATATATATAAAAATAAAGTATATAGGTTGAATCATATATATGGTGGAGTAATAAATGGTTAAATTAAATTAAAGAGATTCTTCTTTTGTTATTGAAATAATAAAAGTTAGTTGTTTTCAAATTATTTTTAATTTCAAGAAGAATAAGTTCATACTTTGTATTAGACAATTTCATGATAAATAAATTAGTTCCGAAAAAATTAATAAGGACAACAAGAATACGTTATATTAAGGTCTATGTTTAGATTAGTTCAAATAAGTTTTAGTAAATTAAATACAAAATAACTTGATTATTTTATTTAGAAATAAAATTAAGTTAAGAAAAAAAAAATAGTTTAATAGCATGCATGTATTTTGTAAAACATTCTAATGGATGTTAAATTTCTAGTTATTTTTTGCTTTGCGTTTTAGAGATTGAATAATAACCAAAAATCTGAGATCGAGTCACGTCTATATCATTTGCATTTCTCCATTTATTTCCATCCAATTGCTCCATTTTTTTCATATTAATTGCTCAATTTCCATTTTAGGTTTTCTTTCACACACATCAAATATTCATTCTGATGAGGAAGCATTCAAGGTTTCCGTTTTTGGTCCGTTTCTTTAATGTTTCTTAGATTAGATTTTGGCTTACAAGTTTTTACCTTTCACTTGAAAGGGTTTTTCTTGTTTTAAGCGTTAGGATTTCTATTTTGATTAGGAATTGTTTTGGTCTAGTGAGTTCCTATTTGAATTAGGACTTTTTTTTTAGCAAAGTAAGTTCCTAAGTGGATTAGGACTTGACTTTGGTTTTTAGGCGTGTCTAGGAGTTTTAGGAGGATTGAATAACCTAATCTAAGTTGAATTAAACTTAGTTAGTTTAGTCATATCCGAATTAGGAACTTCGGGATCAAGTTTAGGTTTTCTTAGGTTTTCTAGGTCAAATGGGATTCTAATTCAATTAGGATTAGTCTTCTAATTTGATTAGGTTTAGGATTAGTTTTGAGTCTATAAATAAAGATTGTAAACTTCGAATTATACAAGTTTTGTTTTGTTGATTAAAGCTTTATTGCTTGTTAATTTAGAACGTTTCTTTCCAAGTTTTCTTTGTGTTTGACGAGTGAAGTTAAACATAAAAACCCTTAGATTAGGCGAGTGAAACCTGATTTAAAAGAGGTTAGATTAATTAGTGAGTGAAGCCAATTCAAACTATCCTCAAAAACCCCTAAATCACGAGTTTAAGGTGAGTGAAGCCTTGAAATCAGATTTAGAACCCTTAGGCTAAAACAAACGAGTGAAGCTTGTTTAAACCTAAGACTAAACGAATCAAGAAACGCATCACATTCTACCCGGACATTTAATATTAACGATTATCCGTTATCGCTCCATTTTTCTCTCTCCTTTTGTTCTTATTTAGTGAATATTTAGTACGTATGTTCCACATATACCGTTTCTTAAATCTTGTGTAGTTGTGGATAATAGAAGGTACTCCGTATATATAATATAAGTTGAATCATATGTTGGAGTAATTTTCTTCAATCAACTAATTTAGTGGCAATACGGGTGCTCATTTAGTGGCAAGGTGGAATACCCATGGTAGTTCGGAGTTAATTTGTAGGAACTCGTTTCCCTAAAGTCTTATGACATTGGTGGAGCATGATTTGCAATAATAAGCTTGCCTAATCGTGTTCCTAAAAAAAGGAACAAAAAAATATATATATATATATAACTACTCATAATAATTACCAAATTCCATAGAATAAATGTTTTGACATTCGTGAGGTATTGTGAGTGTTTCAACAAGCTCATATTGAAAATCATGGCCCATCCAATGAGTAGAGTCTATGATTATGAATTTATGAGAGGAATACCTCTTTAAGCTATACAAAATGACCCATATATATGTGGACAACATAGGGTTCGACAATAAGAGAACACGAGTTACAACCAAATTATATACTCGTACTATACAATTACAATGGGTACTCCCAATAATTGGAAGTAAAACTGCAGAATCAGCCTACTCAGAAACCAGACTTCAGTTGCTCATATAATGCCCACAAAAGAACACCAATCAATGTATCCCTTGCCAAATCTTTAAAAATTTTATTGATCCAAGCATTAGGAACATTAGCACCAGATCTATTCCCAGCTAAGTCGCGAAAACGTAGATCTCCCAGGTCTGAAATCAGCGCGTATATCACTCCATTCAAGTGGCCCTTCCCTATCACTCCCACCACTCTCTTACAGTTAGTTACGGCTTTACTCCGTTTTAGAGACCATGCTAGGTACTGCAAATGTGAACTTTCGAGTTAATATATAAAGAGAGAAAAAGAACTTTGAATAATCAGTATATCTCAGTTCTTTGAATTGATCATAATATTAAGCTATTCATTGCACAATAATACAATTCAGTTCACAATCAGATTATAAGATGCACTCTTGTGAGTAAAGTAACTTAAGAGAAATGAGACCATTACCGTGTCACGTTCAAGTATAAGCGGCTGTACAAGGGAAGGGTAAGCAGAGCTAAGTTTCTCATAAAGCTGGTAAGGGTTGTCATCAGTACCAGATTCCTGTAACCAATCACAACTGGAAAATTAAGCGAGAAACTTGAGGTCTATAGTCATAAGAGAGTACAGTATGAAGGGAATGGCCATATAATCCTGATGCTTGAATGTTGTTTGTTAAGGGTCATTCTACAAAATTTAAAATAATATCTAGCCCACATTAAAACAATCAAGCAGCGAGGACCTTCACATTGGCTGTGGAAGTCTCGGATGAAGATGTGATTCCACGGATAACTGAGCTCACTAAGCTTAATTTTTCGGCCCATTTCAGTGAATTCCACGCCCTCTCAAGCTGCAATAAGATAAGGACTTCAGATATACACATGACAAACAGAACATAATCCCAAAAAGAGCCTAATAGTGCCTCAGCAATTAAAACTGTCAAAACCAAGATGTGCAGTTACAGGTTAGAAATTTCATAAGACTTACAGTAATTTCAATGGGCCGATCCCCCAACACTATCTGTGCACCAATTTCTTCAGACACCATCCGAGCAGCACGAAACTGCAAACAATATATTTTATCTCAGTCAATCAGATGACTTCCAGGATCTAAATTAAAGTTAACCTTTGCAAGTTGGCTACCTCATCTCCAAAAGGCCTGTCAACATCTGAAGAAAGTTTAGATGAAAAGATGGCCAACAATAGCCTTAATGCCAAAGCAGTTTGTCCCCCTATCATAAGAAGTTAGAAAAAAACACTGATCAGCCACACAGGCCCACAACGCCACCAAGTTCAAATGAGGAACACTTCACATATACGTAGATAAGATTAAGATGTAAAACCAGGCTTACCCAAGTTTATGCTACGGCCAACAGCACCAAAAAATCCAGCACCACTTAAGGAAAACATATTGGACTTCAGTTCCGCTTTTGGCTGATTGCTGCTGGAGTACATAATCCCAGCTCTGAAGATGAAAGTCTGTAATAATTAAGGTTAAGCCATGGAATGAAGATTATACAGCGCACATATATTCATATATATTACAAGTGAATACTTTTAAAAAGATAACACCTAATTCTCAGGAGCCAAGATCATTTATTTCTATACTGTATAATACTCCAACTTGGCATTTTTGGTGCCACACCCATGTCAATATGATACGACAAGGATAAGGGTATCGACTCCATAGCCAACACTTGGCCTTACAATATAAAAATTAATTAAGCACCATAAACCACAAGCACGATGAGAGAGGCAGAGGGCAAAGAAGATTGGCTTATGAGAAAGTGATAGACCTACATCAAATTAAACTGCCATTACAGCAACAAGAGGTCCTTCATTTAAGTGGTTTGTAATGCATGAAATTAAAAGGCTTTAAAGTGATGTATTAATATCAAACCAAATTATATATAGGGTTCGGAGCCCCTAATTCCCTAATAAAATCAATTTCATATTTTATTTTATTAATTTATTTAGAATGTCTTAATTCTCAGAATAATGTCCAAATTCTGGACAGTGTCTCCGTGTCGCAGTGTCCAGGAATTTGAGCCTTGACAAGAATCTAGAAATTAGGAAAGAGCTTAAAATATATAAAATGCTACACGTTCCTTCTTGGAGCACAACCTCTGAGGTCAATTAAGACAATAGTTGTCATGTACTCCGGTGAGCCTTTATCAAAATTTCTGCATCATTCAGGACAGTGTCACTCAAAGAATAAGGTGCAACTCCAAAACAACCTGTCATCATCGCTGATACAGGTTCTGTTGGTGCAATGTGACGCCTATATCTGAATATTCAAGCTACTTGAATTCTGCTCCAATCATGTCGCAGGACTACCATGCTTTATGGAATCATAGAAAGAAGCATCGATCATAGCAAAAATGTATTCGCATGTCTTACTTGTCCAAAGAAAAATTCACGAAATTGCCTTTTGCCATTTTCCTACATCTGATTTTATGTTTGATCTCGTTTACATGGGATGTCTGAGGTGACTATAGAGTGGAATCTAGGGGTAACTAAAGATCCTCCTAAGTGAGTGTTAACAAATATTAGTATTGCAACTCTAGTGTACTTAGCTACTACGAGTAATATACAGCTCTCAAGCATTACAATACACCCTTTAAAAATCTTCTTTATAACTTTGCTGAAACACATTTTGGTAGATTAGCATATACTAGGGTTCAAAAAGCCAAATACGGAGTAATGCCCTTGAACTTCACATAACTCCGGTGTAGACAAGAGAGCACACAAACACCACTTACGAATTACGATACACTACCTCCGTTTCACATTAATTGCAACAATTAGGAATTTTCTAGTTTCTACATACTCACCACTTTATGTCAAATCGTCGCAAATAATATAAAACGGATTATAAATTTTTGTAAAACAAGCCGGACTCCCTCTCTTTTTTCGAAATATGAAGCCTCTATACTAAAAAATTCAATGAACAACCTCATATGTTAATTTGACAACAGACAAGCTTATGTTACTAATAGATTTATCACATATTTTTCTAGGATACCCTTGAATTCGAAAAAGGCTCCGAACTTCGATCTTTCAATCAAACAGGAATTTTTCTATGAACATATTCACACAAATGAGTTATCATCACATACAGCTCCTACACCTCAATCTCATAATTAAGCTTCGTCAATGCTAAGTTTTATTAATTATTATGCTACCCTAGACACATATCCAAATTATCTATGATTAAGGCTAATTCAGCTTGTAATTATTCAAATTTCACCCTTTTTGTTTCAATTGATTTTCAGATTTTTGTTCACTCCTTACAGGATCTAACTCATATAATTAACTCCACCATCCACAGTTCCACACATACAATAAAAAAGAAAAAATTGATATTAATAAAAAAAATTATTCCAATATTACCAGAATTATCATGTTGTAAATCCTGCTAATTCTGGATTTTACTTTTTAAACTTGAAATCAATACATTCATATGATAAATTTCTAACTTCCATAACAAACCTTAATTAGAAATTCATAATAACACACACAAAAATTAGCCATGGATGTCAATCAGCTTAGCTAGTACGGAGTAGGTAAAATAATACAACCGAGGACTGAAAATCAAATCACGTCGATATCACCCCGAGCCCAAAAAACAATTTCTTGTAACAAAATGTTAGAATCTCAAACTACTTCCATTCAACATCTAACTAAAATTCAAAAAAAAGTAAAATCATCGAAACTTTCAAGTCTTATAACCAAAAGCTAGAAGACTTGCCTGCTACGACAAAGCTCAACGACGACATTATCGGGCCGAATAGCCCGAACAACCCGCTCAACATCCAAAGACGAGCCCTCATCAATGTGACTAGTACCCACCAACCAAATCTCATCGGGCTCAACAAACTCAGCCCGCCAAGATGGTACAGGCCCAAACTGATTCTTCTGGACCAAAACCAAACTCCCCATATCAACCAAATCCAATAGCTCCGGGTGGGCCCCCGAAATAACGGCCCGAGAATCTGAAAATATTTGTGATGATCGGAAATCGAACTCGGGTGGTGGAGGCTTAATCGAAGCTTTACCGCTAAAATGGGCCTTGAATTTGGGCTTGGGCTTGGGCCTAAGAGGAGAGTGAAAATTAAGAAGTTTCGAAGTTTGTAAGAATAGCAACGACGGTGACGGCGGCGATGACGGCGGAGTTGCCATGGATGAATAACAGCTTAACAAGCGGTTTTTGCATTTATTTATTTATTTTTCTTTTCTTTGTTTTTAAAAGTTTTGGTGTTTGGGTTTTTAAAGTGGATGGATAGTGTGAGATTCGTGAGTGATATGGGTTGACACTTGACATGAAGATAATAGGTAATATGAGTGAGGCCCACTAACGTGTGAACATGTGGTTGAAACTCGCTTGAAATGTGGGGCTCAAAAGTGAAGTTTTATTTGTGGATGAAAATGCTCTATTAGTCTCACTGGTAGCGAATATACTTGCTACATTATGAATGATTGATAAATGAACCCTTGATTTTCAGCCAAGTAAAATAAATAGTATAGCCAAGTATTAGCCTACTTGTGTATCCTTGGTGGTTTTGTTATATTGATAACTTATGAGATAAGTTATGACAAACTAATTATGCTGGTTCTCTTGGAGGATATATAAATTTTTGCTTACATGTCAAAGGTTATCCATTATCTATGGAGTATCTATCTATCTCACTTTTTACTTCTTTTTACTTTTTATAATTATTATTTTTTAAAAACAAATTTTTTTTTATCATGTGCATCGGTATTGAATTCAGAAATCTTTCTCATTCTAACAATCATATTTTCTAGGTATAAAATATGACACATAATTATAGAAAAATTGGAAAAATACGGTGCCACTGTATTAAAACCGTAAATTATCAGTGACACAAATACTACACAGTCAATGATCTTATCCATACGACAAAATTTACTATCCTTGTTCCTCGTTAATAACACCATATTACAAACAACAAATTAAAGTAGTATTTCCATCCCATCACATATTGAGCCAAATGAGGTTTAACAACATAACAAGCATAAATTATAAATAACTCATACATTTAAACATGCTCTGTTTTAAAATTTCCCTATTTTTTTATATGAACATGATCTTCCTTGACAACAGTGTACTACTCCCTAAAGCTAGACAAGATACAACCAATTTAACCAATAAAAAGACGAATCATCGTCAATTAAGAAAGTATTACATGCTCTTAGTACTACGCTTTACAAACATACTTCTATTTTTGGTAATACTACTCACTTCGCTGTGCTCTGTTTCTCTAAAGCAACTAACAAAGTACATTTCTAAAATTTTATATTATATTTTTATTTAAATTTTCCCACTCTAAGGTAACAATACTTGCATACCACCTGTACCAACCAAAAAAATCGGTAACGGCTAACTAACCAAAAATCATGCGAGCATAGTAGTAGTAATAGTCTTACTACTCTGTTCTACTTCTAAATTTTAACATACAAAAATTTAAATTTTTTTTCTTTCTTCTTATAGAATCTGAAATTATCCTAAAACTTTATTCACTTAAAAAGAATAAGAATGAAGGGAGTAGTTTCTAAAAAGAGTGACTCCATAATGGCAAGTCAGCACTTCCATTCGACATATCATCGTCTTCATAAGTCGTCTCATTCCAACCAGTCATATTTGGAGGCGGAAGCATCCCCATTCCATGGTACATATCAGCTAATAATCCCGGGGTTTCGAACTCCATATCGTAATGCATATACATCCCATTCTCATTACTAAAACTCATGTTGTTCATTGTGGTAGTAGTTGACGATGGAGCCACCTCTTCCGCCTTCTCAGCCACCACCTGTTGTTCTTCAGCAGGCGGTGGTTGAGGGCGGAATGCTTCGGCAGCCTCAGCGGCTGCACGCTGAATGTCCTTGGTATCGGATGATGCAGGGACAGGGAGCCGCCAAACAGAGTCAGCAAAGTTGAGACAAGCTCCGGAACGACCACGGAGGGCCATTGCTGCCACGTCATGAGCTCTGGCAGCCATCTCGGCAGTAGGAAAAGTCCCGAGCCATATACGGGTCTTCTTGTTAGGCTCACGGACCTCGCACACCCATTTACCGTTGTTCCGTTGCCGGATCCCACGGTAAACGGGGTGTCGAGTCTCCATAAACTTCTTACGGCCTGCCCGTTTCTTCGGGTAGGCAGAGGCGAGCATGAGCCCCTCTTCTTCAATGGAGTTGGGGCTCATGCCGCCGTCGGATGGAGATACTTGGTTAGTGTACGACATGTTCATAGAGGATAAGTTGTTTGATGAGTATATACGAGTACTATTATTTTCTTCTCTAGCTTTCTATTTTTTGTGTTTCTGTTCTTTTTTTGGAGTTGTTCTGTGTTATTGTTGGACAACATAAAGCCGTAATTGGGTGTTATTTATACGTATATACAACTAGCTAAGAAAAGTGATGGATCTTTCCTCAAACAGCAAATAATAAAGTAATAAATATTAATAATAATAATTAAAAATAATAAAAGAAGGAATGGGTCAATTATAATTTAATGATAAGCTAAATGTTTCGGGAACAAATAGTTAAAAAACATATGATACGATTCGTATGAGTGGGATAATTAGTGATTTGAAAATTGTGTAAATAGATAGAAAAGTCGATGATCATCTATTTTCGTATTGTAAATTTGTAATCGCTTTGTGAGTTGTTATTTTTTATTTTTTATTTTTTTAGCAAGGCTTCCAAATAATTTTTGATATGGCACCCTTGTTTTTTTAGCAAATTTTGTTGTGGGGCCATTGAAATTGGGAACATCAAGTGAACAAGTGACATTTGTCAAATGTTTTAACAAATTCCTCATTTATGTGGGGCCGTAAAGTGATGGAAAAAGTTTTCTTCACTGACAAATAAGAGTAGCTGTCTTATTTAGTAGCTGTCTTTTAGTCAAGAAAATATCTGAAGAGTGACTATTTGACTACAAAAATAAAATATCAATAGACTACATCGTAAAATATCCCCTTATAAAGGAACCTTTTTTTAATTGGTGGTGTGTTTTAATTTGATTGGTTCAAAGAGAAAATCCCTTTTTTTTTTTTTGGGTAGGACCGTAGGAGTTGAACTAGAGACTGTTATGTGAGCACATATTGCTAATTTGCTATCCTGCTGTGTGTTTGTTTTGCATACTCGTGGGTAGGAACTATTGTACTCCATATCATGGAGTAGGATATTTTTATTTTCATTGAATGGTGTATGAACTTTTTGATGAAAGATATTCCCCAATGCATGATGATGCATGGTTTTTAAGGATCATGAGAATTTAGAGGCCGGAAAAGTTTCTGGACATTTTATTCCAGAATCCATTATTTCAACCACTAGAATTATTAAAAGATTAATTTACCTTTTTTCATAGGCGATCTATGTAAGTAGATTAGTAAATCTATTCAAAAGTTAAATGGACATGATCGTTACGGTTGTTAAAAAATACCGTTTTTTGTTTGAGACGGATTTATAATATGTTACTAACTATTGGTGTGTTTTATTAATTTTTTTAACTTGTCTTATATAATATGATACTTTTTCTGTTCCTATTTTTTTGCTTTATTAGACTTTACACGGTGTTCAAGACGTGTCTTGCAACGTATATAACTTTTATTTTTATACGTGTAAAATTATAAAAACTTGATATTAATAAAATATACAATAAGACGAATTCAGCAAAACCCCACATGAATATATTATCTCTCGTTGATCAATGAAAAATTAAGGTCAAAGTCTTCAAAATTTGACCCAATTTTTGGTAGTGGAGCAAAAAAAAAAAATAGGGACAAAGGGAATATGATACACTTATTTTGTTTAAACTTATAAGTGTGTCTAACTTACATTATCTAAGTTACTTGTCTAAAATTACTTTAATTTGTATTAACTTATCTTAGTTTTATACCACCTTTGTTTCTTATTAGCTGCCACACTTCATTAAAGCACACATTTCAAAGAGGTGTGTCAAAAGATGTTATAAGATAATAATAATCCCTATCCACCACACTACAAATCAACCTAAAGTTGTTTAAGTTATGGTAAAAACATATATGAATTGAAGGAGTGCAATTCACTTGAGAAATGAAATTATACATTAAGAAACTTATAAAATAAAAAAGGGAAACGGGTCAACTAAAAAATCGAAGAAAGTATTCATTTTTTCAAATCATCTAAATCAAAATAAACTATCAAAACATGCTCCAATATACTCCGTTCTAAAAGTAGAGTAATAATATACCGAGTAAAAAATGTGTAAGTTTTGTGCTTTCGTAAGACCTAGCTCTTGTATTATATTTTAAGATGTTTTCTTTTCTTTAAAAGCTGCATAAAATTTAGTGATAATAGTATATATTCTAGTGGATGACTTACGTGATCAGGGGAAAACCTCAAAAACTAGAGGTTGTAAATTGATCTTGGACCAACAAGTTTTATAATATGGACATACGGTAACCAAAATTTCCAACTACTAGAATTAGATGATCAACCAAAAGTACTACATATTTTTATTGTCAATAATCTATGTGTGTGAATGCACTAGAGGTTTATAAAAGATATTACTCTGTAATTAATACATGAACGCGCAAAACGACAAAATCTCATAGGGCCTCTTGCATCATAGATAAAGATACTTTATTTTCGTTGAAAGCTACTTATATTTTTGGATTTTTGGTAAATACTATTCTGAAATGATATATGATTAATCAGGTGTTCATGAAAGACTAGAGGTTGAAATGATCCTATAACAATAGTTTTTCATTCTAGAACCACTAAATTTATATGATCACTTAAGAGGTTTTCATTGGTAGTTTGTGTGTAAACTAAGGATGTATTACAGATTTATAAAGAGTATGTTAAACACCCTGATCAATTATATTAGTAGTAGTTGGTTTTAAAAAATAAATAAAAAAATATTGATAGTTTGTGTGTAAGGATGTATTACAGACTTATCAAGTTCATTGAATTAGAGGGAAACTAAATATTAAATTACATTTCTTCTTATAGGAAGTATATTTTTTATTTTTTAACTTTTAAAAATTTAACGAGTAAAATGAAATGAAAAGAGTATGACACAAACTGACGCTATGCTGCGGCTAGATGACACATGCTAAAGAAGTAGGATATAGAGAATGAGAGAAATGAAGGTGATAGAGTGAGTGATGTTGTGCACTAGTAGGACCTTTGTCCTTGTATCATTAATTTAAGATAGTTTACTTTTCTTTGAAAGCTACATAAAGTTTTGATTTATAAATAATATTCGAAATGGATGATTCTTAGCCTCTTAGGTGACCATGTGTAGTTAGAGGCTGGAGTTGGTCCTAGACCCTTTCTTTTTTTGTTTTATTATTTGAGAACCAATATTTTCAAACACTAGATTTAAGAGATTTGTGTATTGGTTTGTATTTGAGGTCCATATAGAAAATGGGCATCATGGTCGCGTGGCAAAAATCGTATACTCTCGTTGTCCTTTTTGATTCGTGATTCTATTTCTATTACTTTAAAGTTGTATCGAGTGAGTTGAATTGGTCGATTGCGGTCTTTTATATTTAGGATAGACGATGAAATAAAGAAAAACGGTAACATGACCTTGATATCATCAATTGATAGAAAATATTTTAAAAATAGAAGGAGTATAAAACAGACTCGCAATACAAGATGACAATAAATGAATAATAAGCTAAAATAATACAAAGTATTACTTGTTTTATGATAAGTTCTTATTTATAGGTGGGTAACTTTTAATGTCCCACAACAAATAAAACTAATATGTGGTTTTTTTTTTTTATTATTATTATTTTTTTATTGGTAGGATAGCTAGTGTGTGACAACATGAATTAGATGAAATTTCTTATTACCCTTTTTTATATGTTTTCACATGCTAAAACAAATTAGGCTCTTCAACCTAGTGAATATATCATTTGACTAACTTTAACTCATTAGCTTTGATTGTTATTGACAAAGTTGGTCAATTTGCATACTAAATTAAACAATCGTCATATATAGTCAACTGTATCAAATGATCAAGAACCATCGCACGTTAAAATAAAGAATGAACAGGCTTGGTTAAACCATATTTCAAGACTCTCAAAATAACATTCGTGTTGTAGTTACAGTTCATATTTATTTATTTATTCCGTCTATTGTTCAATCCAATAATTTATTTAGTTTACATCTGTATTTGCTATTTATTTAACAGTTCGGTAAAGTTCACCTATCCTTCAATCCCTATAATTTATCCAACAATCATTTAAAATCTCACACCGCTATCTAGTGAAAATAAAACTTCTTTACAAAACATTAATTACTAAGCGCTTTACTATACCATATAGTTTAAGAAGTACTAAACTAGAAATTTTAATATGCACCTGATACAAATGTCGCACCAATATTATTTTTGCTCATTTAATGATTAAATAATCAATAATTAACTTTTAGTTTTATCATTAAAATAAATAAAAAATATCACCAATTAGACCATAAATGACTAAAATCAAATTAGACCATGACGAACCAATGACAAACCACTCCTATTAGCGAGTAAGACCAATGACTCACCATTTTTACACACTCCCGAAATCACACGGTTTGCACCTCCTTAAATTTCCAAAAATGAAACTGAAAATCATTATCGTCCCTTCTAGAAATTCTAGATCATAAGACAACAAAATGTAGCTTTTAGAATTGACTACTCAAGTGACTTTCCCTTTTCTATTTTAATTTATTTTTCTCTTATTAATTAAGTAAACTTTCCCACACGTTTGGTGAGTTGGTAGTTACACACTCACTCTAACGGCTGTTTCCCATTTTCCGTCATTCAACTGTTAGGTTTTTTTCCGCGTAAACGAGTGAACCACGAGACTTTATTACTATTTACGGAAGTATCTTTTTTTAAGATGCTTTGTTGGATATTTATTTTTGGAAATCTTGCTTTATTTTTCTTGACAGGAGGAATATCTTGTTTTATTAAGATTTAATTATATCATGATTATTTTTGTTTACTATGTCGTCATTATCCTACTTGCTACTATACTCCATTATTATTGTCGTACATTATTGTTATTATCATATTACTTAAAGTAGGTTGTAAAATGAAATTATGTTGCGCTGTTACATTTGTGGATCTAACAACAATACAAGAAGATTCTGATTGATGATTATGTCTGATTTACTTAACTAATACTTTTTTTTTTTTTTTTTTGAGAAAGCTACTTAACTAATACTTTCATGATTTCATATTAGTGATTTAATCTGCGGCGCTTGATCGCTTAAATTATACGTCTTCCGTTCTAGTAATATTGTAACCACTGAACTTTTGTATTATTTATCATGTTTGTTTGACCACAAATTATGATTTATACATAAAGTAAAATATAGTCATGTGGGGTCTTGTTAATTTATCTCGTAAAATACTTTCACAACATCAACTTTTTATAATTTTTACTATTACATA